TTGCCGTAGCTGTTTCGGATCGCAAGTCTGGTCCCGCCACAGCCTTGTCAGTCAAGAAAGTTTGCCCAGGTGGACGTACTGATGTGTTCTTTTCAACAGTACCACCTTGCAAGCAGCGTATCAAGCTGTGCCGCGAGCGGCTCGCCCTTGCCGGCGAAACTCAAGAGGACTTCAGTCTTCCCTTTGCTATGATTTGTTTCAAGTGGCTTGCGTGCCACATTCAACGTGGATAATCGCACATATGCGGCTGGCTTTTTGCGTCAGGTCTTCGAAAGTCTTACGAAGAAAGCGGAGTCCCCCGCCCAAACAGGCACGTGCCCTCCAGCATGTTGGTCATGCAAGCCCTTGCGCTGAAGAGCAGCATCGACGGCATCGCACATGCCCAAGCCAAGCAATACATCGGCCGTGGAGTCACCTACTCTGGATCCACTTCTGCCGATCTTCTGCTAACACACAACTTTCCATTGCCGGGCAAGACGAAGGCTGAGAAGTGGAAAAGGGCCAAAGCACCCTTTGCGAGCGGTCACTGAGCCCATACACTATTAGTGTAAGGGAGCTGTGGACCGAAGCTGTCAAAGAAATTGTGCCAGCAGGAAAACATTATGTTCAATCCCAAGTTTGAACCTGTTCCTGCTGTGCACATGTCATTGTCGCGGCCTCGATCTGAGAAACAGGTGCAAACACTGCTGAAAGAAATGCTTTCTGTAGTGTAAGGGATGTGGACAGACGCTCTCAAAGAAGCTGAGCCAGCATTGCTTCGCAAGGGAAAGCACTGTGTACAACACCACGTTTGGATCTTGCTGCTAATCCACATTTTCCCGCGGTATTCCGTAGAATTAAACAACCAACTGAACCCTTTTTGCACATCCCCCCATAAGTTGTTAGCTGGACTAATGAGTAACCATGAGATAAGGCAAGGATGCTCTTGAAGAGGTCTGGGTCAACCTTCATCTGATCAAAAAAAATGATGACTTGATCCCTCCACTCAAGCCGATCTAAGATTAACGAAAAGTATGCCAGTGCTCTACCCGCAAGCCTTGTTGGCCTTGATCCTCGTTATCAAGTAATGCATTGGGGCAGCGCAGTTGGGCTTTACTTGGATCAGCTCCCCAGTCAGTCTGCTTTGGCCGTTTCTTGTCACCAGGACAAGAGCATCCGACAAGAGGAGCCAAGCCCAGATCCGTGTCTCATGCTGGAAAGCGTGTCCCAACAGGAGCTTGAACGAGAGACCGATGGTTTACTCAAGAGACGGACAAACGAGGACGGCTGCAGGCATGAAGCATGTGTTTGGACTTTGTGCTGCCGCGGAAGTCCAGACACTACCGTAGAAGGCTCGCGGCTTTCCACACCTCAACGAACATTGCTGCTTGAGCATGAGCAACGGTAGACACGAAACCGCAGCATCTCGGCAAAGGAGCGGATGCGGCGGCCATGACCCCAAGTAGCGGACGCTTTGTCAATCGGAAGAGGCATAGGTGGCCAAGGCAATATTGGGAGGGTTGTTCCAGAGACCATCCGTCCCAGTCACAGTCGAGGATTATGCAGTGGTGTCTGCTCTTCTTTGGCCGAGGCCAAACTTCATGATCCGAACTCGCGCCAAGCCGAGGACCTTCTCAGAAGACAGAGCCTCAGGGAGTGCAGAAACTGCCCGCCACAGATGCAACATAGTCCAAGATGAGCTGACCGTCAGAACGGACCTAGACTCCTCAAAGGGTAGGGTCAGAAGAGCAGGAATGCATGCCACCTGAACTTAAACTTGCCATGATGACAAGTAAGTCGAGAATAATCCCCGAATGCAAATTCTCCTTTGGAACAGCTCGGCTCGGTGTGCTCATGACAAGGTTCCTCTCCTTGGCACGTCTGAAGCAGCGGTCTGCCAGCCGCATTTGACTGCTCTTGCTCTTGACGCTGGATTTCAATTGACTTCATGATTTCCTGCAGGTCCACGTATTGAACATGGGGTGGGGCTTGCTCACACATGACTTCAGTTCCAAGGAAGCTGGTGCCCGGTTTTGAAGCCACCACATTCTTGCGGTCGGTAGCGCTGCGCCAGGTCTCGTGGTACATCAAGCACGGTGTCTCCACCATCAGCCACTAGCAGAGCAATTTCAGCATTTGGGTTGGTCCGCTGGCTGCCCGCACAAGGTGCCACCCTTAGAATTTTGAAATTCAGATCGAGAGGGAAGTGGCAGATGGTAGCTGTTGCATGCTGTTGGCATGTTTCTCTATGCCAGCTGTTCTGCTTCCAGGTCGCTTTGAGGGCCTCTAAAGGCAACTGGTTCTAGAATACCTTGCCGCAATCCATGCAGCATCAGTGAAAACTTTGAGGTGAGCACGGTGTTCTGACGCAGTGAGACAGGCGGTCTTGACAAGCTCTTCTTGTCACGTATGCTCCCGTTCTGCATAGTTTCACACCACATCTATTGTGGTCGGACGTTTGGAGTTTGGACATTTGGCTGCGACTCGTGCTTGAGAGGAACCTTGGACTTCTAGAACTTGAAGCCTGCATAGAGCAGAGTCGGAGAATATGTCCAACAGGTGTTTTGTACATATGCGTAGTTGAGCCAGGGCTGTGTCATAGGCAGGGTCCATACGCTGACGCAGAGAAACAGGAAGAAAGCCATCCGTAAGTACTGCACGGGCTCTTGCAACAAGATGTGTCCTTGTCGATCTTGAGTCATTAATTCTTGGCTCTACATATTTGTGTGTGCTGAGCCGTTGGTATTTTCATGTCGGGGGACAAGCTTTGCGAAATTCACCCTGCCAAGGCGTGGCGAAGGGTGAAGTCACCACCATGCAGTTGAGTTCTGAGCAGCTCCACACTTGAAAAGGCCTCGAGCATTGGGTATCTGGTCCAAGCAGTCTGGGCGATTTGGCACATGTTTTCATCGCCGCTGCCGACGCCGCGTACTTTAGAAGAGGGGGCCGGGTGACGTTGGTGGAGGACCCCTTTCTGGACTTGAAGTAGAGAGCAACTCAGCAACCTACTCGAGTACAAGCATGTGTGGTTCTGAGCATGCCTTGAAGCCCCCTAGGGCACTATAAGGTAATGACATACAGGCAGGGACATATCATTCAGTGACACCCCAGAAAGGGCTGGCACATATGCCATTGGACCATTGAACCTGGCGAGGATGGCATGAATCGAAAACTCCGGGTTATGGACCCTGCCAAATGCCTGGGGCAATTCGGGACAGATGGGAGCCTGCTGCCTGCGGAGTTTCTCGTCGCTTCTGAAACAGCAACAGGTTCGCTTCCTCCAGTTCAGGTTTGAGGGGGAAATGTGGCTCGCTTGGGGCTTACGAAAACCCTACAGTGCACTTCCTTTGTAGTTCTTTTTTTGAATGTCCTCATGACTTCATGAATCAGCTCTCCCCACAGCCCTGTTTGGGCCTCAGCGGCTTACTCAATTTCTTCGGCGTTTGTTCGGCCTCCAAAAACGCCACAGGCACGGAGTGAATAGTCCTCCGTCTCCCCCTCTCTGCAGCCCAGACCCCTGCTACTGCCACTTATTCCATTTTTCAGTCTGTTGAAAACACATACTATGCATAGTCCCCCCTCCCCCCCCCGCGCTGTAGCCCCAGGCGTAGTCGAACCTGAGCTTCCAGTGGAGGTACTTAGGTTCTTTGCCGCACCGACAAACCGTTTGCGGCTTTCGCTTTTGTAGATCGTGTATACCTGAGGTACTTGCGGCCCTTTAGGCTTCAGATGCGCAGCAAACAGTCCTCCCTCGCCCCTGCAACTCCACGTTTGCTTATACTGTGTGTTTTTGCTATTCCGACCCAATAAAAGTGGATAATCAGACCCCCAACCTCTCCCTGGTGGCTTTTCTCGGCCTTCTAAAGCTCTACTAGCAGCTTTGAGTAAGCAGTCCTCCCCTCTGTTGTGCTGCTGGTGGTTTTCTAGCACACAGTCCAAAAGCAGGTGGAAAGTATTCAATGCAAAGGCTGCATCCTACCCTAAACCCCAAACCAAGCCACCTCTAAAAAGTGGCCTTCACCGGAATCAGCACCTGCAGCAGCAGCAGCAGCAGCAGCAGCACCACCACCACGACCACCACCACCACCACCACCACCACCAACAACAACAACAACAACGACGGATGGTGTATTTTCGGTTCAGGTTGCAGCAAAGAAAGCCCTGCAGATCCCCGGCTTTCGTCAGGTATTGAATACCCTTGATTTTGCTGGCCTCTATCTCCACGACAAAAAGCACGCACCTTCCACTTCCAACATTGCTGGTCCTTCAGAGCGGGGTGTTCAATGCTCCTCTGAGGTCCAGCACCTGTCTACTTAGTCTCATGTGTTACCTGGGGGTGGTCATTGAAGGCGGCGCATTCGGCTTGAGCCAGCTAGCTCTTGAATTCAAGGCGCAGATGGGCATGATTAAGAACCTGCATGTTTTGTGTTTTTTCCTCGGCTCAAATGCGAGCTGGATGGTGTAACCTCAGCCTGACTGTTCGGCCCGCCTTCCCACCAACGAGCACACGGCTGCCAGTACTGAACTGTACCGGTCGTCTCTTGGTGCGATACGGGTGTGATGCGGCTTGAGGCAGGCTAAGACAAAAAGTCAGAAGGTTTGAAGCACGTGTCGCAAAGACAACCATATGCGAGCATACCTCGGCGCAATTGTTGCTCAATCCTTTGGCTGGCAAGTTATGTTATGCTTGTCGATCCCCATGCTGGGGGCTGAACCCCGCATTAGCATGTGACTATGGAGCTGTAGCTTCTGATTACAGTCCTTGGGCTCTTGTGGCGGAGCAACACCATTCACCGGTAGCCTAGTTCACACTCAACAGTCACACAGATTACGACATGAAGCATAGCACTTCCGCAACAGCTTGGCAGTCATCCGCAATGGCTTCGCGTGTCCGAGTGATTGCCAAACAGCTTTGTCCGCAACCTGTCGCCGGCAAGACTCTTGAAGAGTTGGTTTTAGATGCAGTCGCTCAAGCTGGGAAGTATACCAGTGAAATGGACAAGCTAAAGGCAGGCCAACAGATGCCAGATCTTACTTACTATGACTTCAGCCAGTCGACGAATCATTTGCTCAACGTGAGCTTAAAGCGAGACCTTGCAGCGATGTTGGATGTCGCCGAAGCTGAGGGTCACCTGGAATTGACCAAAGTGTTGCCAGGGCCATGGGTGGAGGCACACAGTACATTGGACAAGGCCAGGTTGCTGCAAGAGGTCCAGATTGCATATGCGCGTGGAAGCAACGTGCAGCAGATTGCAGCATGGCAGCAGAGGTTTGGCAAGCGCGGCCTCAGCAGCAACTTGGCAGTGCCACAGGTGGTTAGCTTCGGCTGGGGCAGCAAATTAGTCACGAAAGTTGACACACGTATTGTTGTGGCCGACCCAGATGATGCGGCGAGGCTCTCCAGGATACATGTCCAGAAAGATGGATTCTTCGAAGGTGGGCTGCTCACAAGTGTCATTTCAACAACAGACAACGAAGATTGGCAGAAGCAGCGCCGACAGTTGATGGAAGCATTTCTGCCTTTGTCTTCGTTGGCCCAGATCATGCCAACTTCATTTGCCCGAGCAAAGGGCTGCGTTGCTAGACTAATGGAGGCAGCTACCTCTGGCACTCCGGTTGACATGAGTGACTTCTTGCTTCACGAAGCACAAGCCCAGCTCCAACTTGCGCTCTTAGGTTTGCCAGAGGACCTCATGGAGAGTGTGAACGCTGAAATACGCTCGACATTCCAAGGGCATCCGGGCACCAATCGGCCAAATGCCCTTGCACAAGCCATGTCAAGAATTTCAGTGAGCCTTCATAAGCAAGACCTGACACTTCCAAGCTCTGGCTGCCCTGTAAAAGGGCCTCTGTCCGAAGCTTTGCGCACAGCAGAACTCCCGCCTGCCACCTTCTACGGAAACCTGTTGCTAATTCTCTTTGCTGGACATGACACGACTGGGCATACCATGACATGGCTTTTATTTGAGCTTGCCCGGCATCCACGCATCCAGACCCAACTGCAAGCAGAGGTTGACGGTTTTTGGGAAGACCTGGGCGGAAGAGAGCCTATATATCAAGACCTCAGCCGGCTTGACCTGATGGACAAGTGCGTCACTGAAACGCTACGTCTCTGGCCCGCTGTTGCAAATGGAACATTCCGAAGGCTACAGTCAAGGGATACCGTGAAAGGTGCGGATGGGCAGGAGGTGCACTTGCCAAAAGGCACGCTCATCAACATAGTGAACTGGTCAAGGCACCGGAATCCAGATGTCTGGGGACAAGATGCCAATGAATTCAACCCCTTCCGAGACTTCACTTCTTGTGAACTGGCACATGTTGGCTGTCCCATGGCTGCTGTAAACCCTCAGTCCATGCGGTTCTCGCCCTTCGCGCACTCACCTCGCAGTTGCTTGGGGCGAAACTTTGCGCAGATGGAGATGCGGATTATTATGCATCTCGGTTTGTTTCACATAGGTTTTTGTATCATTTAGCATGGGTGGTCACTCTCTCCTCTTACAGGGCATACAGTTGCCACAATACCCCATGAGATGAGATGCGGCGGGGAGCCAGCACCAGAAGAACCCTTGGCTCTCGCCCTGTCCACCTCCTCTTAAATGTCCTCATGTCACATCATCGTGGGGATTTTTACTGTGCGAACCCTTGAAATGATTCGGCGGGACTGATTTGTGCGAAGTTGCATCGCCCGAGGCACTTGTTGATGATGTAGGTCATCTGTCTGAAAAACTTTGCTGCATTTTGAGTGATGGGTAGTTGGGTTGATTCAACATTCTCATCTCATGCTTTGGGGTCCTTATCTGAATAGGCTGCTGATATGAGAATCTTTCTGAGCGCTTCTCAAACCGGCTGAATTGGTGCTGAAGTGCTTCTACTCTTTGTCATCTCTTTGTCACCTGTGTGAAATCTATCAGAGTATTCTTTGAGTCTTTGACTGAGGTGATCACTCCTATTGAATTCAAAGCTACGATCCAACTTTGTTTCGGAGACCCCCCTGCCTTAAATCCAGACCCGCCATTGTGGGGGTGTCTAGCATGCGAATCAGGATCCCACGTTAAAGCTTTCAAGGGTATGTATCCTTGCCCTTGGAGGTATTTCGGACGCCAAGCTAGCATTTGCAGTGTTGTTAGGTTTGCAGGCGATTATGGAAATGTAAAGCCGTCGACACGATCAACAATCATTGAGGTTGAGCCTGCTGCGGAATTTCACCTTCAGCCTGGCGCCCCCCTACGACCAGATCAGTGCTTCAGAGACTGGCGCCACAACGGCTACGAAATTTTTTGGGGTGAACCGCTTCACCATGGGGCCAGCTGATATGGAACGCGAAGGCAGGTCGCTTTTATGCATGCAGAAGTGATGGGCAGCGGGATGCAGCAGGGGATTTGCAATTAAACGACTCATGCTGCGAGGCGAAGCTATTTGGGGCAAGCGGCCCCTCATCGGGTTGAAGATGCAAGTTACGCGTCGATGACGATCCAAATGAACGTTAATTCTATCAATAAGATCATATAGATGAACTAAGTGCTGCAAAAAGGAGAGAAATATCGATTAATATCCCTCACGTCCGGCTCTGCGTGATTTATGAATTATGAGGAATCAAAACGAATCAGCGTTCTGGGTAACAGCGCAAAGTGTTCAGTAACACCCCAAAATGGTCAGTAACACCGCAATTAGTGGGTCATAGGGGCTGTATGCGGGATCTATGGGGCTATGCGGGGGCTATGCGGGGGCTGTCCGGTTATGCGGGGCTAAGCGGTATGATTGCGCTTGCATTCCTTTTTTGTTCTTTTACTGGCAATTTCCTGCGGCGTTGTAATTCTTCTTTCTTGCGCTATTATTGCTCGTTTCTTTTTATGCTATTATTATTCTTTTTCTTGCGCTATTACTTCCCGCTCTCCAAAACGAATAGATAACAAGAAGGAAGAAGAAATCATATCGATTTGGTGGCCTTCAATGATTTTTAATTTTACTAAATCTCTTCTATTGATATATCAAGATATTTCAAGAATTGATATGAAGATCTCATATATAATTGAAAATTTTCATGATTAATTCGATATAATGGAATCAATAGATAACCGCCTTCTGATTCTAAATCTTTTTTCTATTCAGAAATTAGGGATCCAAAATTTATATTTTGAAAATTATTTTCTGGACTGGAATACGATTTCTAACTTAATATTCTATTCGGAATTTAGGAATCGAGACTCATATTTGATAATGGAAAAGAATGAATAATCGAGATTATTCAATAAGATAATTTTCTTATTGATCTAGAAAATTGAAAGATTTCTCATATTTGAATTCGGATTGATTTAAAAAAAGATGATATTTTTCTCATTTTTAATATATATATCATATTTTAAAGATGATATTTTTTTCATACGATTTTATATGAATTCTCTAATATAAATATTAAGAGGATCGATCGCTTCTGGATTCGTATCTGAGAGAAATGATTATGGATTTAAGATAAAGAATCTTAAGAAATAATTATTTACGAGAAATCGATTGAAGAATTTTAAATTTGGTTTTTTGGAAATATCTTAAGGAGATGAATTTTTTTTGAATTCGAATTGAAGAACTTTAAGATTTTCGTTTTTTTTGAAGAATTAAAAATGAATAATTTTAAGATAATGACTTATATAAGAGTCTGAATTTGAAAATTTCAAGTATTGATTTTTGAAGAGACCTAGGAATAAAGAATTTTAAAGAATTGATTTAGAAAGAGATTCTAATTGATATATATGGGTTCGAATAAGGGGTTTATCTCTATAGAGATAGGATTCAAAAATCCGATTATTGATAAATCGAACCGCTTATATTTATTTCAGAAAGATAAACGAATATTTCGACTTTCTTTGATTCTCCGAAAATTCTTAAGAAGACTTTTTTTTATGATATGAGATCTTGGAGATTTGAAATCTTGATTCTCTGAAAAATCTTAAGGAAATCTTCTTTATAACTTCCGATCGTCATTGCTGGAGATTTCAACGCACAATTGGATGATAGTAGATTTCTCGAATTAAGTTCCATTATAATCTCCCTAGACAATCTGGGGCGCCCATACGATATGACAGATATAATTATGATAAATATGATTTTTTCTTTGAGAACTCTGGGCAATACAACCTTATAGATATTCTTAATGATATCAATATGCAGACAAATATATGCTGCCAAGGAGCTCTCCAAGGGTCATGACCTCGTAAGAACGTCGTTGCCATTGCGCGTCGCCTCTTATATACAGTCAGAAGCAAAAGAATATTGGAAGGACCGTATTATTAGATGGAAGAGTGACCAGGAAACCCTCCACATACATATTCGATAAGTGCACAGGAGCAGTGGGAGGGGCTAAAGACGTCATCTGCCAAGGTCTCTTCGCGTCCCATCAGTCGTAAATATATTGTCCTCCCATATATCAAGGAATTGTGCCAGCAGAGATGTAAAAGCAATTCGGGGCAGGAACGATACCTGCTAATGCGCAGGATAGCTTCTAGCCGACGATATGCCAAAAATCAATGGTGGCAGCAGCTGCAGCAGGATGCCAAAGCCGGGTC